ATGTTCACGTGTCACATAAATTTTATATGTAGCGTGTGATTCAACGAAAAATCGAAATAAATTGGAAAAGTCATCAAATATGACACGTGTCAATACCTGGCAGAAATGACTTATTTCATCTAATTATTTAAATCCAAAAATCAAGTTTTGAAATTCTATAAATAGGAAGCCAATGCATTCATTTAGGAGGAAGAAAAGAAGGAGAAGGAGAAAGGAAAAGAAAAAAAGAAGGAAGGAAGAAAGAAAGAAGCCTTGAAACTCTAAAGCTCTCAAGCAAATCCCGAAGGATCAAGAAAGCAATCTTCGTTCTTCGTCAAATCCACCTTCAAGATCAAGCCCCGACGGCCCTTGAAGAACTTCCACCAACTCAAGATCAAGCCCCGACGGCCCTTGAGGAAAGTGTTCATCATCCACACATCCGTTCATCCTTCAAGATTAAGCCCAGAAGCCCTTGAAGATCCGTTCATCCTAAGATCAAGCCCCAACGGCCCCTTTGGATCAACAAATCCACACATCCGTTCATCGTTCATCATCCATCAACCTTCAAGATCAAGCCCCAAAGGCCCTTGAAGATTCATTCATCATCCGTTCATCCTTCAAGATCAAGCCCCAACGCCCTTGAAGAACTTCCACCAACTCAAGATCAAGCCCCGACGGCCCTTGAAGAAAGTGTTCATCGTTCATCATCCGTTCATCCTAAGATCAAGCCCCAACGGCCACTTTGGATCAACAACCTCAACAAATCCACACATCCAACCAACCTTCAAGATTAAGCCCAAAAGCCCTTGAAGATCCGCTCATTCACCAACCTTCAAGATCAAGCCCAACGGCCTTTGAAGAACTTCCACCAACTCAAGATCAAGCCCCGACGGCCCCTTGAAGAAAGTGTTCATCGTTCATCATCCATCTTCCTTCAAGATCAAGCCCCAACGGCCCTTGAAGAACTCCCACCAACTCAAGATCAAGCCCCGACGGCCCCTTGAAGAAAGTGTTCATCATTCATCAACTGTTCATCCTTAGATCAAGCCCCGACGGCCCTTTGGATCAACAATTCATCCACAAACGTACACCCTTCGAAGATAGAATCAGAGGACCAAATTACAAAGAGATTGTAACCCCAAAATCATTAATACAAAATATATATTTTGTACACGTATTCTTGTCGCTTGTTTCAGGAATTTCTCGTGTTTACAGTCTTTCAGACCCACATGTTTTAAAAGCTCTTACTCTGAATATCAAAACCTCCGGGTACCAAGTCCTGGAAGGAACACAACCTTTGGCACTTATTTTTAGAATTTATTACAAAGTCACTGGCACAAGGCGCAAACATAAGAGTACCAAGAACCATTAGGTGGTCAGACATCAGTCTCCCTTCAGATTGGTGTTTAATCAACGAAAGTAAACCGGTTTCCTTCCAAAACAGTCTTGTTAATCTTGACAAGATTGAACAATATTTTGACGGCACTGTAAAAATCAATTTTGATAGACCAGCAAGAAAATCTTGTGAATCAGTACATTCACATAAATCTTTTACTCCAAGCAGACAGTCTTTTTCTGGATCCACGTCAACCGATAGACTGGGTCGAGATCAAGATTTAATCAAATCTTTAGTAAACAAAAAGTTAAAAGAGCAGGAAACTGCACAACAAGATTTAATCAATGATTTGTTCAAATTAAAGTCTGTCGACACTTCTTCACAAGTTGCACATCCTGTTTATCATCCTCCAAACCAAGAAGAACCCACTTCTCCAACTGCTTCTGATTTTGAAACAACATCGGTGAATCACCAATTACTTGTTTTAAACAAACCACATAAAATCCGATGGAGGAAGCTTAAAGCTGACATCGCTTCTGAAGAAAATATTCCCAGAAGAAATATTTTTAGAAAAAGGTATTGTGATGAAGAAAAGCTAGCCATATATGCCGAATGGAAAGCTTTTGTAGAACAATACCAATTTGAAATATCTTTCTTTGATTTTATTGACAAACATTATGAAACCAAAAACAAAGTTACGGTTGTTACCAAAGAAAATTGGGTTAAGGAAGACAAAACTTTGGTTTCTTCCAGTCATCCTCCCAAAGAAACTATTTTAATTACCACTGGTAAGGATATGATAAGGTATGACACCTTCTTCGTTAACTAAAACATTTCGAATTTTGTGAGCAAAAAGATTTGGTAAACCATTGATAAATTTTTCTTTCCAAAAAGGTTGATTACTATCTTCCCTAAGCATAACTCTGGATATGAAAACATCTTTATACCATCTGAAATCACTTAAGGTTGGACACCTTAAATTACTCAGTTGGTCGTGAATACGAGTAGTGACGTTGCTGGGTGTTCCTATAAAGTGTTCTATAATCGTATAAAGTAAAGTATTTACTTCGTCGGGTATTCCTTGTCCTATCGTTTCATCAAAGATGGGAAGTCCTTCCTCATCTTTTTTGATCGCAAAACGTATTTCATCTCTGGACTGAGAAGTTAAGTGCTTCTCCCACCAAGAATGAAGCATTCCAGTGAAACCAGTGACGAGAAGATCAACGATTTGTGTTTGTGTAAAATTGTGATTTGAAATGTAGCTATTAGCAACCATGGACATATGTTGAAGTTTGTTCAAAAGTTCTTGTTCCGACAATCCATCTATATTCCATTCATAGAGTTTGTCAGCAGAGACTGAAAATTGATTTTTACAGTGCCGTCAAAATATTGTTCAATGTTGTCAAGATTAACAAGACTGTTTTGGACGGAAACCGGTTTACTTTCGTTGATTAAACACCAATTTGAAGGGAGACTGATGTCTGACCACCTAATGGTTCTTGGTACTCTTATGTTTGCGCCTTCTTGGGTTGTTTGGATCAAAAGAGTGTGGTCACGAGGACTTTTGTTCAAAGCTTGAAAATTCATGTTTGTGCCAGTGACTTTGTAATAAATTCTAAAAATAAGTGTCAAAGGTTGTGTTCCTTCCAGGACTTGGTACCCGGAGGTTTTGATATTGAGAGTAAGAGCTTTTAAAACATGTGGGTCTGAAAGACTTATTGTGAGATCTGGAAAACAATCAAAATGGATAGGTCCGTTGTAAAGACTAGATTCGATCATTCCGAGTATACTATCGTTGAAATCAGTAAATCTAGCTTCGCGTAAACATAAAAGGATAGAAGTGTTAAGACCTTTTCGAGTTAATGGTTTAACTGCGATTTGAACTAAACCAATATGAAGATAATTATGACCATTTTTGCGATGCGCTTTGATTTGTTCCGGAGAAAATAATTGACAAGTCTCATGTTCTTTGCTAAGAGCATAAGCCTTCTCAACTGTTTTGACGTGATGTTCTGATTTAAAAGAGGTCAAAGATCATTTTTTCTTGTAAATATTTTGGGTTGAAACCTTTGGAATGTTCCACTCAGAAAAATCAATACTTTCGTCCGTTTGAAAATCCAATTTTTGTTCTTCATTGACAATGTCAGGTATAGTTCCTAAGTTGGATCTAGAGCTAGTGCTGGCTATTGAATTAGATCTAAATAATCTACTCATGATGCACACAAAAACAAATATGCTATATGCAAGACTTAAAAGATTCACCTTCCTCGTATGTCTAGACTCTTCCTCCGCTCATGCGCTCCGCTCATGCCTCTCCTGGGACTTATTGTTTGGACCACGTCTCACTGTTTGGCTGGAAGAAAGAAGAACTGAGGACCGACGATTAAGAAATGCAGATAGAATATAAGAATGTATGAGTCAGAAATATATATATATATATATATATATATATATATATATATAGGGGTGTGATATTCACACACCCCATTTTACTTTTCACACACCTTTTTAATTTTCGATCGTCAGATTGGATGAATTAAAGAAAATCAACGAACAGAAATTATCAAGGGGTGTGTGAAAAGTAAAATGGGGTGTGTGGATAGCACACCCTTAATTATATATATATTTGGAGTGAAAGGGGAGGAGAAACAGAAAATAAAGGAATGAGCTTTAAATTTAAAAACTCTAATAGCTCATTTTTTGTGTTTTAGACAATATGATATATTTTTCAGTTAGTGTTGAATTCAGTTTTTGAAAATATTCCTACCAAATAAGCTTTTAAGACCTAAAACATGAAAATTGTTTTTAAGTTTAAAAGTTAGATTCAAATAGAGTACCAAACATACACATACCTTCTCGTTTGAGGTCATAAATTCCATTAATTCTTATGTTAATGGCATGAAAAATAAATAAGACCACAACAAAATTTTAGCTAAATTATGAAACAAATATTAGGATTAAGTCTTGGGTATATTATGGCTTAATTGAACCAAATGTCGTACTAAACAATATTTTATTTCTTTTCTTTTCTACAAGCGAGAGGAAGAATCAAATACAGAACCTAGAATACATGAATATTCATCACTACTTAACTGCATGCACTTACCAACTTATAAAGAATTATGAAGAAATCTAAACGAAATTGTTTGGGTCATTAATTAGGCCTAGGAGTTGAGTGCTTTGTGGATTGACGTAAGGCTTCAAAAGATGAAGTAGGATTCTTTTCTCCTCCAAATCTCCCTCCTGTTTTCTTTCTTCTTATTTGAACGGTCATGATTAAAACATGTTAATATCTTATATTGACTTCTTCGTAGAGAGGAAAAGACAAAAAAGAAAGTGAAGGAGGGAGAAAACGGAAAGAGATTTGGGCCAAGAAATTCCTACTCCCCAAGGGATCCACCATTTATACCTAAATTAGGAATTCTATTTCCTTTTCCTATACAGTTTGGGTTTTGTTGGCTATATATACAAACCCTAGTATTCGTTATTCTCCTTATTAAGTAGGCTTGAGTGTTGCACTACAATATTACAAACTTGTTCCTCAATTTGTTTCCCAATTTTTTGAAGCAATGTCGACCGAAGAAAACCCTAATCCCTCCTCTGTAGTTCGCTTGGACGTCGGAGGAAAAATATTCCGGACCACCGTTAGTACTTTCACTGCGAGCCTCATTCGAGGCTAGCTGCAATGTTTAGCGGTCGTCACAACTTGCAGCAAGACGAGAATGGAGCTGTTTTTATCGACAGGGATGGAAAACAATTTGGGCACATTCTTAACTGGTTAAGAGACGGCAAAGTCCCTACCTTACTAGAAGATTCTGTATATGAAGAACTTCTGAGAGAAGCAGAATACTATCAGCTAGTTGGGTTAATGGATGGAGTACAAGATGTTCTAAATAAGAACAAAGGTGAAGAGGACAAGCCATGTCCAGATTTAACTCGTGCCGGTGTTATCGACAAGTACTTGAAAAACCTTCAAGGTCTTGATCTTTCTGGCCTCGATCTGTCTTACCTGGACCTGTCAGGTATGGACTTCACCTATGCATATGTGAGAAACACAAAATTCTCCGATGCAAATTTATCGGATGCAAAGTTTACGGGGGCGTATGCTGAGGGTGCTATCTTCGACAATGCGGAGTTGAGAGGATCATGTATGTGTGATGCAGATCTTGCTGGAGCTTCTTTTGTGGGTGCTGATCTTCAAGGTGCTAATTTTCGTGGGGCAAGTTTGAAAGGCTGTAGTTTTGAGGAGGCATATATGAAAGGGGCAGGCCTTTATCATTAGGATATGCCAACGGTCAATTTGAAGGGAGCAATTGAAGTTGACTCGATTATAGTTACAAGAAAGGGGTAGAATTAGGGTTCAATTAGGTTAAAAGAAAGGATTCCTTCTGCATAGCCATGACAATTGGCAACAACAAAATTATTATTTACTAGTCATTCCAAAAGAACTCCTTTTTCTTTTGTTTTGGAATTTTTACGTGGGTTTAGATGAATCCTCTTGGTGAACATTTTGGTCATCATCGGTATACTCATCCTCATTTTGTTGTGGGTTTGGCAAGTCTCATGTATTTTTATGTTTTATGAATTGGACTACTTTCCAACCACTCATCACCTTTGGATCATCAATGTAGAATACTTGTTTTGCCGTATTGACAAGGATGTAGGGATCATCCTCAAACCACCGGGTGTTTGTGATGACAAATAACAAATACATATCTCGATTGTCTAAGTTCGTATCATACCAATGACACTTGAACATCATAACTTCCTTGCTGTTTGTGTCTAACAATGAATCACACTTAAAAGTTGCCCAAAAAAAAAAAAAAACCTATTCACATTTACCCCCGAGGAGAAAAACTCCACTGTTTTGAGTGCACAATTTACTGTCTCGTTCAGCTGTTAAGAATTTAACTCCGTTCACGTGACAATCAGAGTATGTTTCAGCACTAACGGGACCCAACGAAATATATCATCGGACAAAGGTACTTAAGTTGATGAGCTAAATTTTCTTCGAGCAAACCTTTACACAATACGCGCCATTTTTTCCTTAACGCCAAAACTTTGCCCAACGAATGTTATCTTATCCTGCAAAAAATTTTCGTCATGCAAAGCCTTTGACAAAACCTTAAATAATGGCCAACCTTGCCCAATAAACGTATATTTTCGTCAAGTAAACTTACTTGACCTGATGAAATATGGTTGGGCGAGCAAGTAGTATTTTATGGTTCTGCACTCCTTTACAAAACCTAAATACTCAAAAACTCATACTTAATTAAAATAAAATCCTCCCTTGTTTTACATGACTAAATAATATGACAAAAAAAAAAATTCTATAAAACAAAGTAAAAAAATTTGCAACTCAAATGATTCACTCCAACTTTTGAGGTCATGAATTCTACTTTTCTTTCTGGGTAGGATTTTCTTCTCTTCTATTACCATTCTCCTCCATCTCCTTATCTCATACTCTTTTCTTTTTTTGTCTTACAATAAGATGTAAACATGATGTAATCGTAATCGTTTAAGTAAGAGGAGAAAAAAGAAGAGAGAGATTAGAAGGGAAGAAAATTCTACTCCTTTCTTTCTTCGGTAGTTTTCTAAACTAAAAAAGCATGCAAAGTCTAGTAATATAATATAAGAGGAAATTAGATTCCACACCCATCTTTCATGTTTTTTAGACTGAACAGGGTTACTTTTTAGGATTTGATTTCAACTTATTTAAATTACATTTTTAGTCAATTGGGCCTTAGTAGATGAGCACTTTAATTTTTAGTCAATTGGGCCTTACAATGAGGGCTTTGTGGATCGACTTAAACGGATGAGGATATGTTCTTCGAATCATCTCCCTATATCCGCACATTTTATCGTTAAGAATTTTATTTTAAAGAAAAAATTAAAATAATTTTTTATCGTATAATATACGATGAAATTGTTGGATATGAGTATCTTAGACAGAAACGCAATAAAAAGGCCTTCACACTCGACGGTCGGTCTCCCTCGAAACGCAATCAAATCCTCCGAAAAATCAAAAGCTAAAATTCAAAACTTTTGGGAATTTGGGCAAATCTGAAGGAAGCTCGAGCTGTTAATCTGTTGTAATCGATGGGGAAGAGAAAAGAGCGTCGTCTTGCAGCTAAGACCAACGCTGGTCGCAGAGTCAAGCTCGATCTCTTCGCGGAACCCTCCGGTACTCTCTCTCTCTCTCTCTATATATATATATATATGTATATATATGTATGTATATTTGTATATTTGTGCTTGTGTGCTTACATGCATGCATTTGTGTATGAGATAATTTGAATTATTGAGACTACCCATTACCCTGTTTTGGATTTTTTTATAATGTATTTGTTTTTCCTGGTTAATTGTATGTATTTCGTTTTTAATGGCTTTCTGTTCATCTCGTTATATATTGATTAGGTTGTCAGAAAATTGAGCTGAATGAAGTGAAATTTTATGCAATTTTGACAGGAAAGAGGTTTCTTTTAGAGTAATGATGGATTAAGGTCTCTTATTGTACAATCTAGATATTCTGCTTGTGTAGTGAGTAGAAGTGCTTTTCTTATAAGCATGTCGAAGTTTTTATTCAAAAGTCAAGTGCTTACTGGAAAAGCACCTAGCGGTCCCAAACAGGTTCTTTCTTAGTATCGTTATGACATTATTTTTTAGTAAAGATGGCATCTTGTATTACGGGATTGGGTAATATAGATGGTTTGTGCGTAGTTTATATGGATTTTGGGTGTTATGTTGAGGACCTTTTTTTTTGCTTTTATAGGAGATTTGGGTGGCTCTGCAGAACACAATGAACATGGAGAAGATACTAAATACAAAGGCCATGCTGGGGTACCCAATTCACCATCTTCTTCAGGTGGGTTCCGTCAGTTTTCTTCAAAAAGGACTTTGTAGAGAGGACATGTGTGCTCAACATTATGTTGTTCGGTGGAATTTGGATACTATATGTGCAAGACATGTTATGTTATTTTCCTCCCCCCTCGAGATTTTGTTTTCAGACTGTAGGGTGGCTGTTGTCACGTTCAGAACATTCGTTGTCAGATCATGTCGGGCCCTGCCACAGTGCAATTATGAGTCACTCCCATTCGTTATGCCCTTTATGGCAGCCGCAAAGCGTTTTGGAGAGTTCGGCTGGGATTTTTTTCTATCGGTTCGTATGTCCTGGCTTTATTTTGCATTGTACTTGCTGACATTTTTCTTCCTTGTGAACAGGTGGCTGCAATGAAGAGATACTAATCTTCTCAATTCAAATCTATATACTTAGACAACTGTTGTCTCCTCAATTTTAGTTGCTCTTACTTCCGTTCTACATTAATACTCCTGCCCATTTGTTTGTTTAGGTCCTGATATGTTCGTGATTACTATGTAGATAACATATCCCATTAAAAGATTAGTAAATAGATAATATGATGGATCGGATAGTGTTTGACATGCTAGTATTATTATGTCTGCAGGTCAGAATTTACAAAATCCACTGCTGTTACTTGGGCAATATAGTGATGACGATTTGGATGATGATTCAAATCATAGCGATGTTTCTGCAGAAAATTCCTCGCCTGACAAAAGCGATGAGGTAATTAAATAAATTTCTTTATGCCATTCCAGGGCTTAGATGTCAAGATGTGATAAGTTGGGTTTCTCTTTAAGCAGTAATGCTCAAGCTAGGTATTAAAAGTAAATTCTGTTTACCTTGGAAGCCTTTCTTTTTTTGTCTCTTTCAGGTTAAGAGTTCGCTTGGTGAATCTCGTGAGCATTTGGATGCCAATGCTTGTGAAGACATTGCTTCTCAGAAGGTTGAGAAACAGGGAGGTAATGCAAATTCTGCCCAGCAAGATTGTGAGCAGAACATGGACCACAGTGATAAAAGAGAGAATGATGATATCGTCTCTAGTGATTTACGTACAGAATCGGATTTGAAGCAACAGATCTCTGTTCCTGAAACCTCAAGCGTACAAGTCATTGGAGATGTTAGTTCAGGTTGGAAGATTGTGATGCATGAAGAGAGTAATAACTATTATTACTGGAATACTGAAACTGGGGAAACTTCATGGGAAGTCCCTGATGTTTTGGCCCAGGAAACGAAGTTAAGTGACCAGGAAATGCCTACTACTGTTGGAACAACAGATACAACAGATAATGCTACTGGTGGTGCAGAAGACTCTAACTTAGCTTCTGATGTGAAGTTAGATGGTTTCTCTAATTCTGTCACAATTGAAGGGGATGCCAATATGATCCCTCATGGAATAGAATCGCACGGACATGTGTCACAAATTGACAAGTGGAATCTAGAATTCAATAAAGGAGCCACTCAAGATACAATGGCTAATGAAGATTATGAATCAGCGATTGCTCTCTCCTCTGGTCTTATCAAACATTGTGAGACATTGTTAGGAAGATTGAAGTCACTGCAAGGGTATGACATGTTTTGCCATTCTTTCCCCAAGCGTCCTACAACACAAGCATCCTGCTTTCTTAAATTTATTTGTTTGCTCATCCATTTAGATTTATTTGTATGTTTCCCTTTGTTTTTGTTCTTTTCTTCGAGATGTTTAATAAATTAGTCTATACGTTTCAGGTCGAAGGACCTGCTGCCAGGTCTCAACTGGATCACAAAGTACACTATGGAAGTTGAGATAAGGCTATTTGATATTAAGTCTCTTTTATCTCACGGTTCATCTCTGCTTCCATTTTGGATGCACTCTGAAAGACAACTTAAACAACTAGAGAGTGCTCTTGACGATGAAACGTCCAAGATTGTTAAATCTCTACAGTCGAATGATACTGAGGCAACTAATCCATCTTTCTACGAGGCTAACAACAATTTTCAGGAAAAAGGGGGGTATAAAAGTGAAGTAGATCAAGTTGGTACTCTGGATGATCGTCATGTTACTCCTATTATTGATACATCAGCAATAGTTTCTAAAGATCAAGATGTTAAAAATTCTGGTGCAAATGCTGAGCATGTGTCTGCGTCTGGCTCTCCTACTAGACATATGGATAGTGGCGCAAGTGAACAAGTCAATGAGGTGGTAGTTCCCTATGAGTCGACTACCAAAAATGAGTTTTGTGGTGGGGAAGAGGTTGACATGGATGTGGACATGGAAGTTGAAGAGTCAAACTATGCAGGAGATACAACTATTGAATATGCATTGAATTCCAAGGAGTTTGCTCGACCAGAGCAGCCAATTCATCCAAGTCCACCTTCAGTATACACATCTTTAGTGTCAGAGGATACGTTCACCATTCCACCTCCCCCAGATGAGGAATGGATTCCCCCACCACCACCTGATAATGAAGAAATTCCTCCGCCCCCACCTGATGAGCCCCCACCTGAGCCCCCATATTCTTCTCATCCATCTTACCCTGAGACAGTGCAACCTCCTTATGCAGAGCAATACAATTATTCATATCCAGCTTCCAGTTTTGGGTATTACGGGCATACCGCCACTGAAGCTCCTAACACTAATTTTTATGGACATCCTGAAGGATCCCAACTAGTTATACCCCAGGCACCACTTTACTATGGTGCAGTTCCAAGCACCTACATGGAAACTGCTCAGGTTGCAGTTAACCCTGTTGAGTCTGTCACATATTATGGGCTTCAAGATGGCACAGGACCTGCTGCTCCTGTAGTCAGTAGTGTAGAGCCCTTGCAGTTTCACAGCGAGTCTGCTCCTCTAAGCTATGAAAACCTGGCATCTGATCAGACTGGATCCGTCAACTCCTATTCAGGAGCAGGCAGCAGCGCTTCAAATGTGAATACTGAGCATTTTTCTGTTGATAGTGGGAATGATGGGGGATCTATCGAGGTTCCTTCTACCACAGCCACGGTTCAAGCACCTGCAACTGTTTCTTTGCCATCAACTAATTCTGTTCCTACTGCCGCATCTATTTCTGCCACATCAGTGGCTACCAAGGTTCAATCTAAAGGTAAACCTTTTGTAACCTAATTAAATTGGGTAATTTTTTTTAATGACATTCTTCTATGGCAACCTACTTCACTTTTGTGGTGGAATTAATCTATGACAGATCTTAGATACTCGCATATGATTATAAGCATACTCATTACTTTCCTTTTCTCTTATCAGTTCCACGAATGAAAAAGCGAACAATTGCAGTTGCTTCCTCCTTGAGGTCTAATAAGAAAGTCTCCAGTTTAGTAGACAAGGTATGTTTTTGTCTAATTTTTTCATATCCTTGCATCGTATGATTATGGATCCCCTAATTTTGTTGTCAATTTAACCAGTGGAAAGCAGCAAAAGAGGAGTTGCTTGAAGATGAGGAGGAACCTGAAAATGCATATGAGTTGTTAGAGAGGAAGCGACAAAGGGGAATAGAGGTTTGCTGAACTTTATTTGTACAGTTTTACTGTGCTTTGGCTTCTTCTGGTTTCTTACGTTCCTTTGTTGCAGGAATGGTACGCACAACAAATTACTAGTGGAGAGGCCAAAGATAATGCCAATTTTCAGCCTCTGGGTGGCGATTGGTAGGGTAACCCAAAATCTTATGTTACGCATTACTGTAATTCCAAAGTTTTCTTATATATTCATTATTTTTTCAGGGTGACTTGGTCACTTTCACCATGTCTCTAGACACAACTTCCATGTTATATCAACTTTTTTCTGATTTGATGGTTCTGTTTCCTGCAGGCGTGAGAAAGTGAAGCGAAGAAAAGCTCAATTAGACCGTGAAGCTGCAAAAACCGCAGCAGCATCTACATCTGGGGCTCCTACCGATGGGAACCAGCAGCCTGATATGACCGAACAATCAAACGGTCTCCCACACGGATGGCAGGTATGTCTCACTGACATTTCTGTTTAAGTTGATCCTGGTCGCATTGAAACCCATTAAAAGGAACCTAAACATCGAGTCTTTACTCGCTTTCTAGATTACGTGCTTATTGTTTAATCCGTTAAATGCTAAGCAATTAATTTTCTCTGGCTTGGACGGAGCGGAGTTACTTGTTCAAAATCTGATATATTTTTTCTTTCCGACTTGTTCAGGCCTACTGGGACGAATCCTCAAAGAAGGTTTACTATGGAAATACCGTGACATCGGAAACTACATGGACGAAACCAACAAAATGAGTCTTCAAATTTTTGAGAGATTTTTAAGTAGATAGGATTAATTGTAGCGACGTGTTTTTGCATTTTGTACTCTAGGAGGAGGGTTGGATTAGGAACTGTAACACTCACGTTCTGCCGTACAATAACAATTTTGAAATAATGTCTTGCCAATTTATTCTCCAAATTTGGCTCGGCGTTCGGGCTAAAAATTCATTAATTTTCAAGATTTCGTCAATTTTCCAAGCTAACAAGATTTCCTGCTTTGTGAGTGTTGGGACAACGTCTATCGTACACAATTTTACTCTTGTTTTGCAAGTAGGTTGTTTTCATGAATCGCTCTTTTTCTTACTACTCTAGTAAAGTGAGGAGCCTTGTTGGCTTTGAATCGTTCCTTTTCTAATTGAACTTGTACTTCATTGTTAATTTGCACCTTAAATTTTTGTTCTGGTCTTTTTCCCCCAGAATAAATAGCTAATTTTCCTCCAATTATATTTGATCCATAGTATATCTAAATTTCTACCTAAAAAAGTCACATGCGGTTGTAGTATCTTATTTTCATCACTTAATGTAAGGTGAAGTAGACAAATAGCATTTTACTGTAGTAGCGGAAAACAATGCCCATGCACTTTCGTGCATGTTCAATTCTCATCAATTCCCTTCTCCACTAACATTTAACCATCTATCTCACTACCGCTGTCGTTTGTAACAAAATAGTTCTAGAGAAAAATTGCAAAAATACTCGAATTAGCATTCATTTGAAAACCATTTGGCTTATCAAGTATAAAGGTCAATTATTATTCATTGGCACAGAAAAATACAATGCAAAATCTCCATAATACATCCTCTCAAATTCCATCACCTTCTCCTATTCTCTCGATAGGAACCCTCACTTTCTTTATCCTTTAAGAAGCTTAGGAAAAGAAGAAAACCGAAAAAGGCAAAGCCTCCGGAAAAGTTGCCTCCACCGCCGCCTCCACCACCACCGCCATCGCCATCGTCGCGAGGAGGGAAGCCACTCCCACCATCATCAAGCAGTGGGGACTTCTCCTTGCCTACAGTTTCACTCAACTGTTAGACGATTTCTGACATTATTCCAGAATTTCAGGCAGAGAAACAGTCACATTTCTACGTGAATTCTAAATAACTATCGAATCAAAGGCTGCGAGAGATTACATTTGTCTCCTGCAAACACTCATCTCTAATGTTTCAAAACGATTTTTTTCCTCGGCACTAATAAGAGATTTATACAAAATAATGGCTCTTACCAGGAAGATGTGTAATTGTTGGAGCCTCACGTGTAACAGTCTGCGTTTGCTCTGCACCACATCTGGCATTCTGCAAAATAAAATAGCAAAATCAAGATTTCTTTCCCTTTTTGTTCCTTGAAAGAGGAAGACGGGGATCAATTCCGAAGGAAGAAACAAAGAACTATAAAAAAGAAGCTAGAACAAAACGTAGACTCATCATTTGAACAACGTTTCAAACATCTATGTACAAACAATTTCAAGGTGCTTATCTAAGGGTTATGCACACCAAAATGCAAAATTTGTAAGCCGCAAAACTGGACAAATAACTGAACCAGGTTCCCAATTGATTAAGTCCAGATATTTGAACTCAATAACTCAAGTGAAAGAATTTTAAAAACCCATGCCGGTATCTTGCCTCACCAACTTTTACGAAAATGTACGAAATGCATCAGTTAATGCTACAAGGTCACCATTCTCAGGGTTCAAATCAATGAATTCACACGATATAAATGCTTCAATTATCTCGAATTGCTAGGGAAGAGTATAAAATAGTGATCCGGCATGCATGCAACAATTCAAAATTTTTACACCATATAAAGGCAAGGTAAAAAAATGAAACTTTATATGAAATAACAAACTAACCAAGGCACTAGCACATATTACAGAAGCAGACTGCCTTCCATTTGAAACCATGACTGGATTTCTTCTCTCGAGTGGAAACTCTGCACCAAGCCCCACCGCTCCTATCTTAAGATGCACCATTTTTCCATCAACATATACTTTTTTCGGTCCACAGCTAGTAAGCTTAAATTGTCCACGGCACTGACCTACAGTTTTCACCATATACAACCAAACATCATAAGAATCACACGCCATTCTCAGAAACCCAATCGATATCATCAAACTGAAAATTCCAGTAAAACAAAATTGCGACAAACACAGTTATGGAAGTTCTTCGACGAGAATCTTTTCTTGCAAAATCCGAAGTCATAAACGGGTAATCAAAATCAGTGGGAAAATCAGATAACGGAATCTCTGAACCTTCAAATCCACAGAAACTTAGGAATGGATACTCATAAGTACCTGCTGGCAATGGAGGCGAGTTCACGATTGCACTTGCACCAGTCAACATTGGCATCTTAATTAGTGATGAAGATTACCTGAGAAAACAAAAACCAACTCTTTTCACATTACGAATATAAACACTACACAAATACATACGTACATACAAACATACATACATACATACATACATACATAGCAGCACATGTTACTAGAGACATGCACACATAAGTATTATACTACTTTGGTTTGACAAGACGATATTCCAAACTACTCTAATTTACGGAAAACGGACATTAGAACTTGGGTGCTGGCCAATTTGCCAAACCCCACTTCTCCTAAAGCTACATGCTATTTATTAAGATTGCAAACTAAATTAATCAGATCATTAATCGCTAATGAATAACGGGTTATGTTTGTTTTCATGAATTCAGGCTCAAAATATGAACTATAATTCCAAATTTTCGATATTTAATTACTTTTCAAGTGAAGTTTATCAGAACCCAATATCTCCTTACCGGATAAAGACTCCTCCTTTGGCCCTCAGAAACAGCAGAAAATCCTGAAGCAGAAAACCCCTTTCAAAGAACCCTATCCCTAAATTGCCCGCAACTCCGAAACTGAAGGAGGAGATTTTGATGTTTTGTGGAGGTGGAGATGGCGGTGGAGGTGCAGGTGGAGGTGGAGGTTGGGGCTGTGTGTTGATTTCGCTGTGGACGCCAATCGAAGGCGGTGAAGTAACGACCGAAATACCAACGGTGTCGTTTAGTTATACTTTCCCTTGGGACAGCTGAACTGGGCCTAATCTTTGCCCAAATCTTAAATTCGGCCTGCAAAACAAAAGGGCCTATAGGCCCACTTTTACTGACTTCCACGTTTGTTCTTTCAGCATCATCTTGAAAATCCAATCTTAAATCCATCAAGTTGAAGAATTTTCCACGTTTCTTTGATGTCTTAGGCATTGTGAGTAGTCTAAAATTTGGACTATGGCAACTCTGCGGTGTATTACTAGTTGAAGTAGATAATGTTAGCGAAGTTATATTTTTGTACATGTTGTATTAGTTAATGAATTTATTTTATTGAATGTTAGTTGCGAGCATTATTTATCATGTCATATGTGGTATAAAAAACGATCTCCGTTGCATTACTCATTTAAATGTAATAATAAGTTGATGTAACAAATTTTAGGAAATTGGATATTGTACCTTAAAGTATCCAATAATGCATAATTGTGTTTAAGTCTCTCTTTATATAGTCTTGTGTTATTTACTCAGAACATCACAGTGACAGTGTATCCGTTACATGTAAGTTTTCTAATCCCTATTGCTGACCTACTTGGTTGTTATCCTATTTGGATTCCATGTGATTACGGATGAACTTGAAGGATTTTATCAAATTGAAACGGTTTGTTCGGGTGTTGACATTATAATTTGGCCCAAAAAACCAAAAAAAAATTGGAAACCGCCAAGAGGCAAATTATAATTTTGTTATATATCTCCAGCAAGAAAAATGAATCCGTTTATGATTTGGAAATCAATTAGAATTAGGGTAGGATTAGGAAACTGGCTCAGTACTATATATACGTGCTCCTGCCTCATGTTTTGTTTCATCGAACTCTCTCTTGTTTAAAGCAATTATATAGCTAAATACACCTAGCTCTCTTCTCCCATGGATCCCAAGATTGCACTCCGTTTTCTTCTTGTTCTTCTTCTCACCTCCCCTCTCTTTAATACCAACACCATGCAAGCTGAAGCTGTCCAACCCTACGAAGAAACAAAGAAACACGAACCATCGAGGATGATCAACGTCGGTTTGGTGTCAGCCGTACTCGCCGACAAAGGGTATCATGCCATGTCACTTACCCTAGACATGGTTCTTGATGCTACAAACCCTAACACCACTCTTACCCTATTTTGCCCACAAGACAAAGCTTTCTTTAATTCGAAGTACCCGCAGCCTCCGTTGACGCTCCTCAAGTACCATGCTGTGCCATTCAAGATGGACAAAGATTCTATGGAGGCCTCTTTTCGTCACGGTTCCAAGGTTGATACTTTTCTGCCAGGTCACCCTCTCGTCGTTACTTCACTACCGGCCGGCACGCATGGATATGCTTCTCTTAATCTTGTTAAAGTTACTGAGTGGGATCTCTATAACAATGGACGACTGATTGTTCATGGGGTCGAGGACTTCTTTGATCCGGCTTTCCAAACCATAAGGTATCCACAGTACGACCTGGTTGCGAAAGATGTTGTTAGTTCTGGTGGAGTTTCTTGGCTCAAGGCGGCAACGGAGAATTGGTTTCTTGTGCTAGGTCTGGCTGCTGCTTCCACTATTGTGCTCGTTCTCGTATTTTACTTTTGTTCTAAGCCTTCGAAGACCGATGATTTTCGGTATTCTCCTTTGTATTATGGGGTTCTTGGTCATGTATCATTAAGTGATTAAATTTTGTTGAACTATGTTTGAACTTGATTAATCTTTTGTATATTCCCCTTGTTCTTGCTTTCTTTTTCTTTTTTTCTTTTTTTTTTTCTGTGAAAGGTTACAAAATTTTAATCGAAGATAAATCGTAGAGTGACATTCAATTGACAATAAATAGTCAACCGTGATTTATATATACACAACTAAAATCGTTTCACCTTAACAGAGAATGAATTTTCAATCACAAATATGCTTAAGTTCTTTTCTCCTTCCCAAAAATTGTTGTGGCTGAACGTTAGGCCTATCATAGATTAAAGATTTTGTTGATGCTGGTCATTTAGTGGTTAATTAGAAGATCAAGAGTCAAGACAGTGAAAATAACATGGCTTACAACTTCGGTACGTAGTTAAGTAAGAGCATTTACCCTCGAATCAAAGTTTCAGAGTCCCAATCCTCCTCTCTCAACATTGTTATTACGAAAAAAAAAGGAAACAATACATGCATGTGCTGCATCGTAACTAAACAAAAACAATTTAAATGAAGCTTCTTAATATGTTACTAATCAATAAATAATACTACAGCCTCAAAAGTTCTATCAAAATTTCAGAAACCCAAAATTCATCAGGATCTTATTAGTTTTGGTGTTGATAGTATTATTCTTATGCTGAAGAAGCTACATGCATGCATGCATGCGACATACATTCACTCAACTCAACATTTTTCCATAAGTAACTGAGCAGAGACTGAGTGTTGAAGGCGACTAGACTGTACTTTTCGCGACCTCCGAGAGGTTGGAGCTGACGGATCCCCCCTACACGGTTGAGGCCTGAGCCGATACTTGAAGTTCGGTGGCGTCTGCAGCGGAATGAGCCAGCATGAGTGGTTGGGGAGCAGAGGCAGTTTTTCCACCTTGATGATTTTGGAGTATCTTGTGATGTTGGTGAAGCAAGCATGTGATATGCTTCTTGAAATCCTCTAGGTTAAGTTGTGGTATGGTTAGGCTTTGACCCTTGCACTTGATCCCTGTGTTTCGGGATTTTGCTCCACCTTTTCAGCCATATTCTTCGGTCAAACTTCAACCAAAAAGAAAAATAACAACCGTTATTTTATAGTGTCATGGTGGCTAATCTATCTCTAATATTATGCATTCACCTCTGCACTTGAGATTTTCAGTCCGATGACAATTGTTTAAAGAGAAATGGTTCTCAAGGATATTAGATTTCAATTGATATTTGTAGTTTTCTTAAGGATATTAGATTTCCAATGATGCTTGTAAATTTCTAGCTTGTTTATTTACGTGGCATACATACTGAAATGATTAGATATGATTGATGACTTTCTATGTGTTTACTAACACACGAGCATCAAAATTGTTCTGATTCATAACTTTTCCCTAGTGTCATTCATCGAACAATGTGACGAATGAGATATATAAAGCGATTGGATAGTGCAATTCGCATATCTTTATTTACCTCCCACACACCTTGTTAATTTTGTTCATTGATTTTCATCCGATGACTAAAAATTGAGAGGGGTACGGTATGAGAAGTAAAAATTGAGCGCTACCCTTTGCCAAACCCCACTTCTTCTAAAGCTACATTCAATTGATTAAGATTTAAAACTAAATTAATTGGATCATTACTAGCTGATAATAATGGATTATATGATGGTTCATGAATTCAGCACAAAATATGAACTGTAAATCCAAAATTTTTGAAACTTAATTACTTTTCAGGTGAAGTTAATCAAATATCTCTTGCTCGATAAAGACTCCTCCTTTGGACCTCAGGAACAGCCGAAAATCCTGAAGCAGAAAACCCCTTTCAAAAACCATAACCTAAATTGCCTGCAACTCCGAAATTGAAGGAGTTTTTGATATTTTGCGGAGGTGGGCGTATCAGTTAAGAATTTATTTTATGAGTAATGTTATTCATACCATATTTTTGTACCACATTTTCATACCATCTTAGTGGCATTTGATGTGGACAACGACATTATTTAAATTAATTAGATTTTTAAATGTAGTTTATTATTTAATAAACTAATAATTAAGAAAAATTAGCTAATTAAATGATGATTGTAGTATACGAGGAGTCTTTCTCTTTCCTTTTATTGGGTTTTGCAAATTTTTCAAATGATGTGGTTGTCCACATCATAGAAATGTGGTATAAAAACATGGTATAAATAACATTACTCTTATTTTATTAAATGTCGGTTGTGTGCATTATCTACCACATTACACTAATATGGTATAAAAAAAAATTATATCTCTGGCATTACTCATTCAAGTGTAAGAACGTGTTGATGTTACGAATTTTAGAAAATTAATTGGAAACTATACCTTAAAGTATCCAATAATGCGTAATGATGTATAAAGTCTCTCTTTACATAATATTGTGTTATTCACTTGGAACACCATAGTAATGGTGCACCAATTACATAAAAGTTGTTTTAATCCGTGTTGGTACTCGGAGAAATATGACCTACTTAGTTGTTATTGTATTTGGATTCCAAGTGATTGCGGAATGGCTGAGTTGAACTTGATGGATTTTATCATTTGAAACGGTTTGTTAGGGTGCAGACATTATAAGTTGGCCCAAGAAACCGAAAAAATATGGACACCGCCAAGATAATGAAGTTTGTTATATATATCCAGAAAGAAAAGTGAATCCCTTTACGATTCGGAAATCAAATAGAAATAGGGTAGGATTAAGAGACTGCCTCAGTACTATATATACATGCTCCTGCCTCATATTTTGATTCACCAAACTCTCTCTTGTTGAAAGCTCTCTAATCTCCCATGGATCCCAAGTTTGCACTCCGTTTTGTTCTTGTTCTTCTTCTCACGTCCCCTCTCTTTATTACCACCACCATGCAAGCTGAAGCTGTCCAACCCTACGAAGAAACAAAGAAACACCAGCCATTGGGGATGATCAACATCGGTTTGGTGTCAGCGGTACTCGCCGACAAAGGGTATCATGCCATGTCACTTACCCTAGACATGGTTCTTGATGCTATAAACCCTAACGCCACTCTTACCCTCTTTTGCCCACAAGACAAAGCTTTCTTTGACTCCAAGTACCCGCAGCCTCCATTGACACTCCTCAAGTACCATGCTGTACCGTTCAAGATGGACAAAGATTCCATGGAGGCCTCTTTTCATCGTGGTTCCAAGGTTGATACTCTTCTACTGGGTCATCCTCTCGTTGTTACTTCCCTACCGGCCGGCACGCGTGGATATGCTTCTCTTAACCTAGTCAAAGTAACTGAGTGGGATCTCTATAACAATGGACGGCTGATTGTTCACGGAGTTGAGGACTTATTTGAT